GGGGCGGAGGGCCGCGAAGGCCTTGGGGGCGGGCTGGGGAAAGTGCTGTCGACGTCCCCTGCTCAGGGGCACTCGCGGTGTCGGCGGCGGGAGGTGCGTGGCTGGGGCCTGGGTCCTTTTTTGTTCCTCTTTTTTCCGCGCTCCCCGGCTGGCGACCGCGCGCGCCCCCCGCCAAGGTACAAGGTTCCGGGCCGGCACGCCGCGACACACGAGCGCGCCAGGTGCCAACATCACTGGTTCCCCCCCTGGCCGGGGAACCCTGGTTCCCACGGAAGTCCAAGCGATCGAGGCCCCCTGCTGATCGGGGTGGCTGGGGCGGCGCCTGCATGCCGAGCCCCCCCCCCCCCCCCCCCCCGGGAGGACGTGGGATGCGGCCGCGGAGGGCCCCGCTGGCGGGGTGGGCCCAAAAAAGAAGAGAGCCCGCTGTTTATATTGGGTCCGACATTCACCACACGCTAGTTGGCCCTCTCGCCGCCCCGCCCGAGCCGGCGGCGGCGGCCCAAAAGGCGGCCGGCGGCCATGGGCCCGACCCATGCCATGCGGCCGACCGACCGACCGACCGACCGACCCGCCGCCGGGCGTGCGATGGTGGAATGCCGGTCGGGCCCTGCCCCCGGGAGTGCTCCTCTGGGGCCCCCCCCCCCCCCGGGCCGGGCCGGGCCGGGCCCGCTGGGGCGCGCGCGTTCCGGCCCCCGGAGTTTTTTTCCTCGCCCTCGCCGGCCCCGCCCCAAACAAGGGCCGCATTCTGCCTTTTTCGGTGTGCCAGCGCGCGGCGCCTCGGGCTCGGCCCCCGGCCGTGCTCCCTCCCCCCGGCCCTCGGCCGCCTCCGCCGCGGGACCAGACCAACGGGGGAGAACACACGCAGCTGGGGGGGGTTGACGCATGCGTGTGTCAGACTCGCCGAGGAGACAAGAGCCCCCTGAGTCCTCGCCGGACCAGTGCCTGGTCTCTCGGGCGCCAAGTCCACCCATGGCCGGGCACAACATCACCTCGCTGGCCGG